ATTGATTTCAGAGAGGAAGGGAGAGGGAGAGAAAGATAGAAAGATCAATCATGAGAGAGAATCATTGATTGGCTGCCTCCTGCATGCCCCCTACTGGGGACTGAGCTTGCAACCCAGGCATAAACCCTGACTGGGAATCGAACCATGACCTCCTGGTTCATAGGTTGATGTTCAGTCACTGAGCTACACAGGCCGGGCTGTAACCAACTCATTTAATGGCTATCGCACTCCCAGTATCTCACTGGCAAGCTACTATCTTTCTTGAGCACCTAGTGTAGGGGCCTGGAGAACTGCCAAGGGAGATCTAAAGAGAAAACGATGAGCAACCCCTGCCCTCAAGATGAATTTTCTTTAACCTGGGGCCAAACCGCAAACAGGAAACTGCAGGAAAACTAACCAGGACAGGGCCAGAGCGGTAGGGCAGCCTGTCACAGGAGGGAGAGAGGGGTAGTCTGTGGCCTGGGAGAGAGGCGAACATCTGCAGTGGTTAGGAGAGTCGGGGGCCTCTTGCTCCCTGGGGCACAAGCAGGAGGCAGCACCCCTGAGGCAGCATCCCCAATGCAGGCACACGTGCTCATGTGCACACTTGTTCACTCACTCTACCGGCCATCCTGTGAGCTAGCTGTCAATCAGTATGGCTGAGCAGGCCATTTTCACCAGGGCCTGGGAGGGTTGATAATGGGCCCCTGGTAGCTGCTGTAGTCTCTTCCCTCAAAAGAAGGCTTGCCTCTCCCTTCCCCTCAGCTTATTCACCAGCTTTATCCCAGACTAGTTAAAATGCTTCTGGGCCTGGAATTATGCTTCTGATCCTGTCATCTCAGCCCAGGGAAGCTAATAATTACTACCTGGACAAATGACCACACTGGATTATACTCAGAACAGTCTTTTTTGTTGTTGTTGTTAATCCTTACTGGAGGATATTTTCCCCATTGATTTTTAGAGAGAGTGGAAGGGAGGGGGAGACACAGAGAGAAAAACATCAGTGTGAGAGAGACACATTGGTTGGTTGTCCCCCGACTGGTGCTGGGGATTGATCCTGCAACTGAGGTGTGTGCTCTTGACCAGAATCAAACCTGGGACCCTTCAGTCTGCGGGCTGACACTCTATCCACTGAGCCAAACTGACTAGGGCAAGGAACAGTCTTGATTAGGGGAGGGCTGAGATAAGCATCCAGGTATAGTACTTAAAATGATGAAAACCAGCACCCCCGGGTAGTACTTAAACCAATTCTTTCTTCCTTGTTCTTGAATTACCAGCAGAGGCTATGCTTGTCACCACATGTCTCATTGCCCTTGCAAAGCACCAGACTAGGGAACCAGTGCTCAGGGAGTCGAGGCCTGAGGGTATGGGCTCTGGGTGGGTAGGTGAGCCTCTCTGAGGCTCTCACCACAACAACCCACACCCAGATGAGTGTTGTTGGTCATGAGAAATGCCTCCCCACTGCTGAGGAAACAGTCCAGAGCTGAGGCCCTGGTGATGGCCGCTCAGGGCTGACTTTGTTGTTGTTGGTTTTTGTTTTCTTTCTTTTTCTGTTAATCCTCACCTGAGGATATTTTTCTATTGACTTTTATAGAGAGTGGAAGGGAGGGGGAGAGACAGAGAGAAACATCAATGTGAGAGAGACACATCTATTGGTTGCCTCCTGCACATGCCCCGACCAGGGCTGGGAATCGAGCCTGCAACAGAGGTACCCGCCCTTGATCAGAATCGAACCCAGGACCCTTCAGTCCATGGGCTGACACTCTATCTACTAAGCCAAACTGGCTAGGGCAGGGCTAACTTTTTAAAAAAATATATATTTTATTGACTTTTTACAGAGAGGAAGGGAGAGGGGATAGAGAGTTAGAAACATCAATGAGATAGAAACATTGACCAGCTGCCTCCTGCACACCTCCTACTGGGGATGTGCCTGCAACCAAGGTACATGCCCTTGACCGGAATCGAACCTGGGACCCTTGCATCCGCAGGCCGATGCTCTATCCACTGAGCCAAACTGGTTAGGGCAGGGCTAACTTTCTTGACAAAAGATTTTGAGACTCGCCGGTTGGTCCCCAGAATAAAGGGCAGGCTCTGAGACTCTCCCAAACATTTGGAGAGCTTCGAACCTAACTGGGGTGGTTTCAAGAATTAGGCCACTTTTTGCTCATGGAGCTATCCTTGTCCCCACAGGACGTTGTTCTCTACTGCCTCCAGAAAGACAGTGAGGATGTGAATCACCGCGACAACGCCGGCTACACAGCCCTGCATGAGGCCTGCTCCCGGGGCTGGACCGAAATTCTGAACATCCTGCTGGAACATGGGGCCAATGTGAACTGCAGTGCGCAGGATGGCACCAGGCACGCTCCCCCCCTCCCCTCCCTGCCACTCCCACCCTCCCCCAGCTCAGCTCCGGTCTAGACCTTTGCAGCATGCCAGGCTGCCAGGCTGCGAGTTGCACAGAGGCCTTGTCAGGAGGGGTTTTAGGAAGAGATCTGCAGACTGCAGGGGGGACCGGATTAGGGCAGGGATGGATGTGTTCCCAGCTGGCCAGTCCACAACATTTACCAGGGGGAGACTGAGGTTGTCTAGGGATCACCCCATCAGATGCATCTTTGCCAGGAAGACTGCTCAGGCTTTCCGCAAACCATCCTGGTGGTGCACCTGTCTCGGGCAGAGTCTCAGGCTTCAGGCACTAGGGTAACATACAGATTTAATTTTTTTAATGGCTACACTTATATTTATTTATTTATCCTCACCTGAGAATATTTTTCCATTGATTTTTAGAGAGAGTGGAAGGGAGGGGGAGATACACAGAGAGGCACACACATATCGATGTGAGAGAGACACATTGATTGGTTGCCTCCCACATGAACCCCCACCAAGGCCAGGAATCGATCCTACAACCCAGGTACATGCTGTTGACCAGAGTCGAGCCAGAGACCCTTTAGTCTGCAGGCTGACACTCTGTCCACTGAGCTAAATCAGTTAGGGCCTGATTTGATTCTTTTTTTTTCTGATTTGATTCTTGATTGATCTCTATACCCTTTTAAAAAAGACACCTGCTGTGTCTTATAGAAATTGCACCCATTCTCTTCTGCTCTATCAGAGGGCTTACTTCCTGGCAAAATTGAAACATGAGCCACATACCAAGTGGGGGGACTTGGGTCAAAGGACTCTGGCTCTGCTTGGCCACCACGTGTGGAGCTGTTCTGCTCATCCCTGCTCATGGGAAGTCATTGGGTCCTTCTGTTCATAACCCCAAGCATCTGCTTTAAGTTTATCCTCAGTCGGGGTCCATTCTCTCCAACCCCAGTAGTACCAATGGAGCTTCGTTGCGCCATAGAGACAGTCTCAATATGTGGGGGGAACATAAGAGAGAGAAATGGAAGGGAGGAGAAGAGCACAGGGAGAGAGGAGGTGGGGAGATGTAGTGGGGGGTGCAGGCCAGAGACGGTTCCTCTCCTCTAAGTCTTACCCACATTGTACCGGGGTCATCTCATTTTACTTCTCCCTGACAAGGCAGCCTGAGGTCTAGACACCCAGGTTCCCATTTGGGCCCTATTGTCCTCACCCTGTATCACCTCCACAGGCCAGTTCATGACGCAGTAGTCAACGACAACCTGGAGACCATCTGGCTCTTGCTGTCCTATGGGGCCGACCCCACACTGGCCACCTACTCGGGGCAGACAGCCATGAAGTTGGCCAGCAGCGATACCATGAAGCGCTTTCTCAGCGGTAAGCACAGCCCAGACTTGAAGCCAGCATCCTTGAGGCTGGCTTCTGAGTCCTGAATTCCTGAGGAGAGAGTCTTCATCTCCCTCCATCTCAAACAGCTCCCATGAGAGGCGTCAGCCCTTTTCACAGGCTTTCTTTCAAGCGTCTCAGAAATCTCTATATACTTTAAAAAGCCCAAAGGCCCACTTCCTCTTGTCCTTGTGCCGTGAGTGTCCACATTGAATGCATCCTCTTCAGGACCCTGCTAGCCTGCGGGGACCCATTTCCTAGCGAGGCATGTAGGGCAGGCCTCCCTATGGGACAGCAGCCCCACTAACAGATTTAATTGGGGGAAAAATGTATTGACCTCTGCTTTGAATGGGATATCAGTTGCAAAGAAGTGACACAGTGTTTTGTTTTCTGTTTTTGCATTTTCTCCTGTTGGTGATCAGAGTAGAACCCTTGGGACCCCTCCTGGCACTTTATTTCTCACAGCCCTTGCCTGTGGTAACTGAGTTGTTCCCTCTGCATCCCCCCCCCATTCCTTTCTCATCCTCACCTAACCCCTGTGGAAAAGTGTCTGGTGTTCAGGCCTATGGCAAGGGCCACAAGCCAACATGCATTCGTTTTCTCATGAGCAGATGGCAGCTGTTTGTCTGCAGTTAGATAGCTATAGTGAGTTGGGCAGCGGGAGGAAGATAAGGAGGGGAGTCTAGCTCGGGCATGCTCAGTGGGAATCTTGACCTTTGAAGGAAGAAACCCTGCCTCCTCAATAACATCACAGCTTGGCCCTCCCTCTAGCAGTTACTTCTTCAGACTGCCTGAGTGACAGACAGACGGAGCTGTATCACTCACCCTCCTTGGAGGTGTTGATGTTTGTGGTAGAACCCCTCTGGGATTGGAAGCCCACAGGACCAAGGGTTTGCCCAAGGTCACTCCCTGGTTAGTCTCCCCACCTCTCCCTGCCCCCACACTACACATGCCCCAGAGAGACAGTTCTGGGCTCCCAACCAGGGGCTCATTTGTTTATTGAACAAAGGTTAACTAGGTGGAGGAACCAGAACTGAAGATCTTCATGAAAGGAAGCCTAGATGGGAAGTGCCACCTAGATGCTAATAAAAGCTGGAGGGGAATGAGGGAATGCCACTGAGGGAGGCCTTGGCTTCTGCTCAGGCAGCCTCCATTCTGTCCCCAGTCAAGTCAGCTAAACCCAGCAGTTGCTGATCACCTAGTACAGGCCTCAGGCCTCACAGCCGGACCCAGCCTCTCCCTGTCTCAGGGAAGGACTGTCTTTTCCTTTCCCCCAGCTCTGGCATTCTAGGCCCTTATCATCAAGGGGCAGAGCCACTTTGTGATGCCCATTCAGCCATTTGTCCTGGGCCAATGATGACTCCTATTCCCTTGGCTGAACCATTCCCAGAGTGCAGGGCTTGAGGCAAGTACTCTGTGGCCTCCTCCCACATACCATACATGTACTCTCTTATATGCATACATGTGGAGGTGTCTGCACACCACTCGATTCCCAGGAAAAGCTGGCACAGGTGACCATCCAGAGCAGGGGTCCTCAAACTACGGCCCGCGGGCCACATGCGAATACAAATATTGTATTTGTTCCCGTTTTGTTTTTTTACTTCAAAATAAGATATGTGCAGTGTGCATAGGAATTTGTTCATAGTTTTTTTTAAACTATAGTCCGGCCCTCCAACGGTCTGAGGGACAGTGAACTGGCCCCCTGTTTAAAAAGTTTGAGGACCCCTGATCCAGAGCATCTCAACTTGATAAACTCACTGCATGAAGCTCTGTCTCTAATCAACAGCTCTAATCCAGGGCCTCTGTGGTCTAGAGACTGTCCTCCTGAGCTCCTGAGGGTCTTGGGGCCTTCTGGGTCCACATAAAGCTATCTCTGATCACCTGAGTTAGCAGACGAACTCTTTATATATATATATATAATTTATTTATTTATTTTTCAGAGAGGAAGGGAGAGGGAGAGAGAGAAACATCAATGATGAGAGAGAATGATGATCAGCTGCCACCTGCACGCCCCCCACCGGGGATCGAGCCTGCAACCTGGGCATGTACCCTGACCGGGAACCAAACTGTGACCTCCTGGTTCATAGGTCGACGCTCAACCACTGAACCACACCAGCAGGGCAGCAGACGAATTCTTTACTTCTCTGACCCCTTCTCCAAAATTCCAACGGAGTTTGAATGTTGAAACCATTTTAAGTAGTTAAGAAATTAGAAATAAATACGTTTTTCTCTCTTCTTCTCATTTCTATGAGAAATAGGTAGCCTTTTGATGCCTCCTTAAACTAACTCGAGTGCCAATCCCTTTTGCAGAAGCAAGAGAAGACTTTTCTTAATTCCTGCACTTCCTAGCTTGTCCAGGCCGAGCACCTTTATTCAAATCTTGACATTGTTTCTCAACATTATGGGGTGGAGCTGTAGCTTCATAATGGGGTCCAGGAGCTGAAAGGAATGTTAAAACTGAGCCACATCTTTTCCATGCAAATGGGAAAGTGGCATTAAAGGGAGATCTCTGGCTATTGGAGAAAGTGTGAACAAGCCTGGAGGCCAGGACCTTAGCCTGCCACCCCAGGAAGGCAGGCACTGAGAGTCAGTGGGCTTCCAGGAGGGGGGCCTTGGGTCCAAAGACTATTGGGGGGGATGTGAGGGAAATATGCAGGGTCTTTTTTAAAAATCCAGGTACAGTTCACCTAACAACTGTTTCGCACTTAGTATATTTACAATGTTGTGCAACCATCATCAGGCGCTTTTTTGGTTCCTTAAAGTGAGTATTTCTCTTTTTGTGTCCTCGTATCCCTCTTTCTCAGAGCTCAAGAAGCCACTGAGTAGAGTGGCTCAGTGGCTCTAGGGAGCACCATGAGGCTGGAGGTTGGAGAGGCAGTTCCCTCCATTCCCCCACCTCCCTGTCCCTACACCTGGATGCATTTGGGTGGACTTCTGGATTTTTCTTTTACCCTTCCTGTCTGGCTGAAGTATTTTAAAAGCTTTTTGCTTTTCATCTCTAAGCATTTGCCTGATCAGACTCTCCATAGGTTGTCTTCTTCCTCCCCTAGTGGGGATCCCACTGGGCAGAAAATGAAGGAGAATCCCAATAGGGTGCAAAGGGCTCGCAGCCGGAAAGGTGAGCGAGAGCATCAAGGTTGCGCCTTATGTAGAGCTTCCCTCACTTTGTGCAAGGCCCTTGTTCAGGAGGAGTCTGGGAATCAGATCCTTTTTTAAATACGCAAAGGAATATTACTGTTTACGGGTATCTGTCGTGAATCCTTTTGTAAAGCAGGTTGGTATTCATCTGGGTTATAAATGTGGATTTCCTGTATTGGGTTGGCTTAAAATGAGGCCCATTTCTCCGGAGCTCATGAAGGATGTAGTGGCACTCCTTCATGCATTTATTCATCCACTCATTTAGTCATCACCTGTTTTCAGGTACAGTGCTGGGTACTAGAGGTCAGATAGTGAGCCCTTTCTCTTACATCCTGGGGCTTGGAGCACCAAGCTATCCAACCTCCCTCCAAAGGCCTTTGGAAGACCTCCGAGGAGGGTCAAATGACAGGCAGGCATGTGACTGATTTGCCTTTGACCCTTTGAAGGGAAGAATAATATCCAAGCTAGCCAAGGGAAAACAGGTTCATTTTTCCTCCTTTGTTGGAAAGAATGTGGGAGCTGGGGGCGTTGTTGCCGTTTGGTTTGGGGCATTGGAGGAAGTATCGGGACTGCTTTTCCTTCCACTGATGAAAGGGTTAGCAATTTACCACTTGAGGTCACTGAATCACAGGTTTTTGTTTTTCCTGCCAAAGACCTCTGCTGTATGACCCCATGTTGAAGACCGCTTGTTTTTTTGTTTTTCTCCCCTTTCATGTCCCTCAGCTGGCAACTTGGTTGGAGGAGATGGGGAGTGGTCTGTTGGGACCCTGGGAAATAGAGAATCTCTGATTGCCATGGTGACCACTCACACTGAGTACTTAAAACAATTTTTTTTAATCGAGGCAAAATTCACATAAAATTAACCTTCAAAAGTAAACAATTCAGTGACATGTAGTGCATTCACAATGTTGTACAGCCACTACCTCTATTTCGTTCCAAGACATTTTCATCACCCCCAAAATGAAACCCCGTGCCCCATTAACCAGTTGCTTTCATTTCCCTCTCTCCCCAGCCCCCGGCAACCACTCATCTACTTTCTGTCTCTATGGATTTGCTCATTCTGGACATTTCATATAAACAGAATCGTATAGTATGGGGCCTTTTGTGTCTGACTTCTTTCATGGAATAGCATGTTTTGAAGGCCCATCTATGTGGTAGCATGTTTCATTACCTCATTTCTTTTAAGGTTGAATAATATCCCATTGTATGGATATACCACATTTTCTTTACCCATGCATCAGTTGACTCACATTTGGGTTGTGTCCACCTTTTGGCCATTGTGACTAGAGCTGCTGTAAATGTGCATGGTACAAGCATTTGTTTGGGTACCAGTTTTCAGCTTTTTTGTTATATACCTAGGAGCAGGATTGATGGACTGAGGGTATTTTTTTAAAAACTATGTTTTTATTTATTTTTTAGAGAGAGAGGATTATTTTGGTTAATCCTCATTTTTTTAGGAAGGGAGAAGGAGAGAAATATAGAAATATCAACATCAATCAGCTGCCTCCTGCTTGCCCCCCACTGGGGATGGAGCCCACAACGCTGGCATGTGCCCTGACCAGGAATCGAACCGTGACCTTCTGGTTCATAGGTCGACGCTCAACCACTGAGCCATGTCAGCCGGGCTGGACTGAGGGTTATTTTTCAGGAAAGAATAAGAGTAAAGGACTGAAAGTTATGGGAGGGGGCAAGGAAAAGAAAAGTCAGTCTCCATCCTGATTGTATGTGAAGACCTGTGAGGAAATGTGACTTGAAGCTGCACCATCAAGCAAGCCTTGTAGTTTCTTCCTGTGTTCCACTCATGGGTCTGTTCGGACTTTTGCATCTTTGCTCATGCCAGTTAACTTTGGCCATCTCAAAAAGGGAAATTCACCTGCAAATGACAAAGATTTGCTGTTAGGAGAATTAGAGGAATGTGCCGGGGGCTCTGAAGGCAGTTTCCAGAGAGGCGTCCTAGGAATGTAGTGACCTAGGGCTACTCTGATGGAGTCCTCGTGTGACCTCTTGGTGGGGACTGCAGTCATTTGAACGCATAGGTTTCGGCATGCTGGTTAAGCAAGCACATTACTTTATAGTCTGTAGTCTTGCCTTGTAATTTCTCCCTCCCTTATTTTGTTATTTTGGTTAATCCTCACCCGAGGATATTTTTCTATTGATTTTTTAGAGAGAGTGAAAGGGAGGGGGAGAGACAGAGAGAGAGAGAGAGAAATATCAATGTGAGAGAGACACATGGATTGGTTTCCTCCTGCACACACCTTGGCCAGGGTTGGGGATTGAGCCTGCAACTGAGGTACATGCCCTTGACTGGAATTGAACCTGGGATCATTCAGTCCACAGGTCGATGCTCTATCCACTGAGCCAAACTGGCTAGGGCTCCCTTCCTTTCTTTCCCATATATTATGTTCTTACTATATGTAGGCACCTAGGCTTAGGTACTAAGGAGACAGTGATGAACAAGACAGATGTGGTCCTTATCTTTATGATCTCATCCCTGGATCTCCTAGCACACCTAGCACAGAGCTAGGCACAGAATAGACACCTGCCTAACTGACCAATGCTTTAGGAAGAAACCACTATCAACTCTAAAGTGACGGGGTACAGAAGAGCACATAAACTGGCAGCCGTGACCTCAGAGTTTTTTCATAGAATGAACAAAAGATCTAATATACTTGACTAAAGGTTTTCCATTTTGGCTGCTCAGCCATTACTTTGAAAGCTTCTCTCTGGCTGTCTTTTCCTACTGGAAGAAACCCTTCATCTCCTAGAACGCTGCTAAAAACGGACTCCTTTCACCAGGTCACAACAGCTAAGAGGTATTTTTGCTGATAGGATGTGTGAAGATAAAGGTATGTTGGAGTGGATAGGACCCTTCCATCAGGGGAAAATAGCTCTGCTCCTTTAAGAGTGGCTGCCTGCTCACTTCCTCCTGGGATTTCATTTTCAGGGGGCACTCTCACCTCATCTGTGCCCTGTGGACTCTCCCGTCCTGTTGCCCATGTGTCCCTTAAGGGCTGGTGGCAACCATACACAGCTAAGTCAGCTTGCCAATTGCCACGAGGTGGCATATTGGTAACCGCAGGGCCATGTGCCCACAGATGACACAATTGAATTTGTTGTTAAAGACCTGCTTTTTGGCCACGTGGGACTGAAAATTGAAACAGTTCCACTAGATGAAGCGTAGCTAGGAAACAAGGAGGCTAAGTGGTGACCTGATGTCTGTTCTCAGATCAAGCAAGCAAAAGGTGGTTACAATTTTTTTGTGGTAAAGTACTTATAACACAATTTATTATTCTAATAATTTTAAAGTGTACAATTGAGTGGTTTTAAGTATAGTCACAATGTTGTACAAACATCACCACTATCGAGTGTCAGAACTTTCTCATCACCCCCAAAGGAAACCCTGTACCCATTAGGCAGTCACTTCCTGTTCCCTCCCAATCACCAATCTGCTTCTGTCTCTCTAAATGTGCCTGTTCTGGATATTTCATATACATGGAACCATATAATATATGGCCTTTTATGTCTGGCTTATTTCACTTAATATGGTGTTTTCAAATTTCATCTAAATTGGAGCATGTATTAGCACTTCATTCCTCCCTGTGGCTGAATAATATTCCATTGTATGGATGTACCACATTTGCTTAGCCCTTTATCAGCTGAATAACATTTGGGTTGTTTCCACTTTGGAGCTATTGTGAACAGAGCTGCTGTGAGCATTTGGGTGTTAGTTTTTGCTTGAACACCCATGTGAAAGGTTTTTGTGAGGATAAACTTGGCCATCTCCTAGATGTTTTTTGTTGTTGTTAATCCTCACCTGAGGATATTTTTCCATTTATTTTTAGAGAGTGGAAGGGAGGAAAAGAGACACAGAGAGAGAAACATCGATGTCAGAGAGACACATCAATTGGTTGCCTCCCACACGGGTCCCTGACCAGGGCTGGGGATCCAGCCTGCAACCGAGGTACGTGCCCTTCACCCCTTGACCAGAATGGAACCCAGAACCCTTCAGTCCACAGGCCGACAAACTGGCTAGGGCTCCTAGATGGTTTTCAAAGATAAAACAGGAATTGTGCTTCCTTATCTTACTTTGAATTGGGGAGATCATGATTTGGCGATGTTTCTCTCTCATTGATGTTTCTAACTCTCTATCCCTCTCCCTTCCTCTCTGTAAAAAATCAATAAAATACATTTAAAAAATGATTTGGATAAATAAACATTGTAACCAGCAGGGAATTAAAAGTCCTGGGATAGGTCTAGGATTCTGCTTGCAGAGTAATTGCCCTGCACCATTTAAAGCAGGGATCCCAGACCTAAATGCCTTCAGGCTGATCCTGTAAGAGAGCAGAGCAGGCTGGGTGGGGACTGTTGAATTGGACAATAGCACATGTCGCCTCTTCCTCCAGCCAACTGTTGACATGCAGGAATGTGGATTCAGTGTTGCCAGATCTTTTAATATTTTTTTCAAGAGAAGTTGGAAATCTGGATTTTTTTTAAGTGAAAGCTCTCAGTTTTAAAATGATGGATGTTAATTATTATTATTAAATTTTGTTTGTTTAAAACACTGGGCCAACCCCCAGGTGGTCAGTGGGCTAGATTTGGCTCCTGGCTGCTGGCTTGCAACCTGTGATTGACAGCCAGAAGCAGATCACTCTCTCATCACTCCCAGCCCCTCTTGTGGTCCTCCCCTTCTCCCATGTTCCTAAGCCCATGTGTATGTACTTTGCTTCAGATTCTTTATCCAGCCTACCCTCCTTGTCTCACTGCCTTCTCTTCTTTTATCAGATCACCTTTCGGATCTTCAGGGCCGTGCAGAGGGTGATCCTGGTGTATCCTGGGACTTTTACAGCAGTTCTGTATTGGGTAAGCTTGCGGTGGGATTCTTCCCCCGCCCCCACCCCTATCTGTGGCTCAGAGATGTGGGATTTGCTTTGTATTTAACTAATTCTTCTTAAAGGCCGGAGTGACCCTGTGAAAATTGCCCTTCTTCCCCTGTTACTGTTAGTAGCTTTTAGAGCTTTTCAGCCCAAACTCTAGTGCTTGCCTCCCCCAGACTCAGAACTCATTGGCCTAAACTAGGAGATGCTGCTTATTTGGAAAAAGCTATCATTAGCCCTCTACCAACCCCACCCTGGGTATTTATTTTTAATTTGCTCTCTTCCAAGGTCCCTTTCTCTTCCCTTGTTTTGTCCTAACCCAGCCAGAAGCACCACCCCTATGCACATTGTCACCTTTTGTGGTATTGCTCACACTCGAGAGACCCAGCCCCTCATCTGGCAGCTGCCACTCCCTCCCTCCCCTGGCCCCACAATGTGTACAGCAGTGATGGCGAGCCTTTTGAGCTCGGCGTGTCAGCATTTTGAAAAACCCTAACTTAACTCTGGTGCCGTGTCACATATAGAAATTTTTTGATCTTTGCAACCATAGTAAAACAAAGACTTATATTTTTGATATTTATTTTATATATTTAAATGCCATTTAACAAAGAAAAATCAACCAAAAAAATGAGTTCGCGTGTCACCTCTGACACGCGTGTCATAGGTTCGCCATCACTGGTGTACAGTTTCCGAGATAGCTACCATCTCCCCAGCCCTTAGCCTTCTGGCCCAAGTTTTCCTCTCTGAGAAGAGCAGCCAGTCTTTATCCGTGTCAGTCGTCTATCATTCACCGTCAGGCCAGGGGCTGCAGACTGAGGGAAGCACTAACCTCTAAGCTTCAGGGGAGCTGGAGCAGGAGCAGGTGGGGACAGAGTGAAATATACCGTACCCACAGTCATCTGGGCAAGGGAGCTGGCCAAGCCCCCTCTGGGCTTTTGGAGATTCCAGCAGGCAGTTGGGGTGGTTTTGGAAAATGGGGGTGGGGGTGGGGGTGGAGAACAGGTGTTTTTAACCTTGCCTTTGACCATGATGGTATCTTCAGGCTTTCATCTCCAGCAGTGGAGCAGCTCACCCTTCACATCACCTTGCTTTTTTCCAACTGAAAGGTGGAGTAGTATAATGAATCTCTGGCCTCAAAAGATTACTATCTTCCAGGGCTCGAACTTTCATGTGCCGTGGGATTATCAAACCTTGGCCCTGGCCAGGGTTCTGTAGGCTTGCTGTTTTTCTTCTAATCACCCACCTTCATACCCTTTGTCTTTTTGTTGTTGTTGTTAATGCTCACCCGAGGAGGATATTTTTTAATTGATTTTTTAGAGAGACTAGAAGGGTGGGGGAGAGACAGAAACACTGATGTGAGAAACATTGACTGAATGCCTTCCGTACACACTGTGAGTGGGACTAGGCTGGGGATAGAGCCTGCAACCAAGATATGTGCCCTTGACCGGAATCAACCTGAGAACCTTCAGTCCTCAGGCCGATGCTCCAACCACTGAGCCAAACTGGCTTGGGCTGTCTTTTGGGGGGTTTTTAATCCTCACCCGAGGATATGTTTCCATTGATTTTTAGAGAGAGAGGAAAGGAGAGGGGGAGAGAGAGGAAAACACTGATGTGAGAGAGAAACATTGATTGGTTGCTTCCTGTTTGTGCCCCGGCTGGGGATCAAACCCGTTGTAATCCAGGCACCTGCCCTGACTAGGAATCGAACCCGAGACCTTTCTGTGCACGGATGAAGCACCAACCAACCCAGCCACACCAACCAGGGCCATACCCCTTTGTGTTGTTGGAACATTTCTGTTCTTCGGTTTTGTGCATCTAGCTAAGTCCTAATTCCCTGTGTGCTCTCCTTACAGATGAAAAAGAAGGGTTTGCCTGTGACCTCCTACATAACCCCCCTGGGAGTTCTGATCAGGAAGGAGATGATGGCGAAAAGGATGATTTTATGTTTGAGCTCTCAGACAAGCCTCTTCTCCCTTGCTACAACCTCCAAGTGTCAGTGTCCCACGGGTAAGTAAGTGTCTGAGAGACCTATGGGGACTGAGTGCCAGGATCCTGGCAACCCCTGGTCTGCCTTCCTTAGAGGGTGGAATTCTCCAGAAGGAAGCCGAGACCTGGAGACAAATGCTGCAACATGAGAAAGATAATATATGACTAAGACCATCCTCAGTTTCCAGCCCAGATTGGTTATGTTCACAACAGAGGCCGGGCTGTAAGCTCTACATACGCTGAGTGTATTTATTTCCCAAACCCCAAATCTAGGATCACTCTCTGGAGGAGTTTTGTGCTGTTCCTGGGTGAAAGAGATGATCTGGGAGATATTTGGACTGCTGAACTATTAGAATCTCTGGAACATTTTTGTGGTTTCTGGGGACAGACAGAATATTTGAAATCGAGAGTCTAGGAAAGGTCAGGACATATGGTTGCCATAGGTATGGGGCCACTGGGGTCCTTAAGTAATCCCCAGGCTGCTTTCTCACAGACTTAATGCTGGGGAGAGGATGGCCATCAGTGCTGTCATCTCAGATTAACATGTATTTTATATCGGGGATCAGCCATTGTCGGAGACTAGAATTTACCTGACACTTAACATTAGACTGAACCCAATTTAGTCTCTATTTGATGATTCGGAAGGCTGTTGGGCAGCCTGCAGGGCCACGGTTCTTGTCAGGTTCACCGTATGGCAGCGTGTGGCAGTGCTAGTTAGGATGATGAAGGAAGAATTGTCCTTTTTTTCTTAGCCTTCACCAAGTATTTTCTCTCTGGTCTCTTCTTCACATATTTCAAACAGCTTTGCAAACACTTTCAAGGGTACTTTTCCTTTGATATCTATTGTTAAAATATCAGATCTTTTTTTTAAGTGAAAACCCACAATAGAGGGAGGAGTGGACAGTGGCTTAGGAATCCTTCAAGTGAGCTCCTCCGTTGAGGACTCCAACCATTCCACCACAGTTTCTTTGCATCCCTTCCCCCATGGCCAGATAAGAATAAAAATAGCCTATATGATGACACTGTAGGGATCAAGTTTCAGGGGCTTTTGGTCCTTATTCTTCTGGGCATAAGCTGATCCCTGAGGGCGGGGCTGGGCCTCTGGGATATAGTATTGCACAGTTAATTAATTCCTCCAAAGTATTCAGCACCTCCTTCTTTGAAACAGGATCTTGGGCCCAGGCAGTAAAAGGACCAGGGCTGTGTGCTGTAGGTGTGGACAGAACACAAGCAACCTGGGCGGCACGCCACTCGGCAAGCAGGGTGGCAGGGAGGTTTTTTGGTCAAGAGCTGGGTGTGGGTAACGCTGGTTTTCCTGATGTTCCATCTTCTAGCGTCTCTTCTGAATCTGCCCTTCCCCACAGCTGCAGCACGATGTGAAAATTTTGTTTTTCAAGAATTAGGGGGGTGTGGAACAGTGACTCGCTGAGGCCTTGTGGGGTTCAGAGTGCCTTCTGCATCATCAAAACAAACCTGAATTCTGATCACTAGTGTCAATGTTCTAGGAGGTTTGCCATTCTTCTTTTCTTAAATATATTTTTATTGATTCCAGAGAGGAAGGGAGAAGGAGAGAGAGATAGAAACATCAATGGTGAGAGATAATCATTGAGCAGCTGCCTCCTGCGTGTCCACAACCCAGGCATGTGCCCTAACTGGGAATCAAACCGTGACCTCCTGGTTCATAGGTCAATGCTCAACCACTGAGCCACACCAGCTGGGCAGGGTTTGCCATTCTTTGATGATCCAAGTGTATGGTATTTATAGTCCTTTTCTCTTAACTCAGAGCGCTCCATTCCCTGATTGTGTAAGATGACAGTTTTCACTCATTTGAAAGAAATGTTGCATTTTAGGGATAAGACTTGTGGGTCTTGGTAGAAGTTTTAGGTGCTGTGTAGAACCTTCAATTCCATAAACATGTCTTAAGCAGTTGCACCTTTCCAAAATGGGCTCCATTATAAATAGTATGATAGGGGTGTGAACCAAGTGCCAGAGACTGTGGAGGGTGGAACGAGCAAGCAGCTACGTTGGCGGGAGGCTTAACAGGTAATATGGCATCTGAGCTAGGCCAGAGAGGAGAGGAGTGAGGGTGTGGCATGAGCAAAGGCACTGAGACACCCAGGTTCCAAAAGTTCAGAAAACAGGGCTAGTCCTTCCCCAAATGGCTGGCACTTGGGTGGAGGATACTCTGTGTGTGTGTGTGTGTGTGTGTGTGTGTGTGTGTGTGTGTGTGTGTTGGGTGACAATTGGCCTGAAGAGGTTGAATGGGGTCATGATGCTTGGAAGGTCTTGCATAATGTCACACCAAAGAATTTGAAGTTTGGTGTGTGTTTTTTTTTTGCTGAAGGTACTGGGGGTCCATTGAAAACTGTTTAGGGAATGAGTGAACAGGTCAGATTTCTTTTTAGAAAACTAATAGTAACAGAGGGTCCAGTGAGGGTTGGGGAACAGAAAAGTGACTCTTGGCAGCAAGGAAACCAGCTAGGAGGCTGATGTAATATGTAATATAGTCCAGGCCAAAAGTGGCGAAGGCTGGACGTGGGACAGTTGAATGGCAAGAAGGGAAAGCCCTGGACGCAGGGACCACTGACATGGGGATGCAGCATTGCTTCTTGGTTTAGTCCACGCAAGCGGCTGGCCTATGACTGGCCTCGCCAGCACCCCTCTCAGCTGTCCCCAGGCTGCCACCCAGTCGGGTGTGCTCAGCAAAGGCAGACCGGCTGTAATGTGAGCTCCGGCCCTGCAGAAACGACGGTGCTGCCGCTGGAGAAAAAACTTGTCTAATGCATTCCAGAGCCAAAGAGAAATGCCTTTTGGATTACCCGCAGTTTCGGCCTTTCTCCATGGCCCCCCTCTGCTGGGGAAGATCTTGGAGAAAAAGGAGGCAGGGGAGGCCAGAGTGCGAACAGGGAAGAGAAACCAGTGGGGCTGCAAGGGTCAGTGGCGAGGAGAACTGGACCCCGCAGATGGTCAGTTCTGGGGCATGGTACCGGCGAAGGCCTAGGGGAGCTGCTAAGAGTTTTAGGTTCTGGAAGGCCCTTTCCCCCCTGCTCCCACTTTTTGGAAGAGGTCAGTCATGGGTGGAGTGCTCGCCATTTAGCTGAAAAGCTGGGCCAGCCAGTGGAGCGGACAGGAGCAAATGTTTGCCTCAGCTACACCCAAGGAGCCTCTGGTTTAGTGGGGGGTGAGGGGGGTTGCCAGATGGGCAGCCTTCCTGAGCCTTCCAGAGTGTTCCCTGCACGTCCACCGCTTCCCCTCCACCCCCTTCCCTAACTCCCATCCTTGCCTTTTGCAGGCCCTGCAACTGGTTTCTCTTTACTGACGTCCTGAAGAGGCTGAAGCTTTCCTCCAGGATCTTCCAGGCCCGGTTCCCGCACTTTGAAATTATCACCTTGCCCAAGGCTGAGTTCTACAAGCAGGTGGCCTCCAGTCAGCTGCTGACCCCTGCCGAGAGGCCCGGCGCCATGGACGAGTGCCCCCCGGGCTCCTCTGAGACTGTGGAGCTGGTGCGGTATGAGCCCGAGATACTTCGGCTCCTGGGGTCCGAGGTGGAGTTCCACCCCTGGAACAGTTGATGGGGAAAACAGCTCCTCCCTTTTCTTCTTTCTCCTCCCAATTTCACCCTTCCCCATCGCCCATGTTTTCCCCCACCCAGCACCAGACCGCAGAATGAGGCAATAATCCGGACCAACAAGAAGCCGCCTTATCAACGCCAGCATTAGTGACTGGATTTTTTTTTGAGGGGGGCGTTACAATTAGTTCTCATCTCCCTGTCATCGTTATTGTTGTGTGGTTGATGATGGGGGTGGAATGTTAAACTCCACGTCTGAGGACAAGAGGTCCCGGGGGTGGTGGGAAGTGGCACCAGGGTCCCTTGGACTGGCCGCCTTGTATATGACTAAGACCAAACCTGGGCCCTGGGTGGCCGTGGCCTGTCTGGAGGAGAAAGGAGAAAAGCCTAAATCTCTGAGCGCCCCTTCCATTCCCCTGTGTTCTTCTGTCTTCCATAGTATTTATTTTATTAGTATTTAATTTGTATTTCATTGGTTTCTGATAAGTCTGTATCACTGTGATAATTTGAGACAACTTGTATTGAGGGACTTTCTTCACCTCCTTTCTTTGTTTTTCTGTTGATAAGCTCTGGAGCTGCTCCCCCCTCCCTCCCTCTGACAAAGTTACTCCCAGGGTCTCCCCTACCACCACTGGGGAGGGGGTGGAGAGAGGTGGGAGCCATCCGCTTGTGACTAATGAAGGTGGCTGGTGCTGGCCCAGGGCTGGGGGTTTGGGGGTAAATCCTGAGGCTTTGGTGCTCCCCTACCCCCAGTTTTTTCTGTTTCATCGCCCCCTACCCTTTGCAGCAAGCAGCCCTGCTACCTTGACATTGGTGTTTACTGGGGAAGAGACAGCATCGTGGGAGGGAGGGGTTGATGAGAGTTGAGAGGGTCTGAAGGATGAGGTCACCTCCTCCTCGTGCTTTCTTCACTGCTCACCTCAGAGTGCACAATATGGGTGTGTTCCTACAGCTATGCCCCCTGCACCCCCAGCCGCCCACCCCTGTGTGCTCTTAACCTCTGTGGATACTGAGCCTCTCTGCTCCCAACCCTTTCCCCCCATCTCTCTCCATCACCAGACTCACAGGACCCCTTCCTCTCTCCCTTTCCTCCTCCCTCTGCCCCCTATTCTACTTCGGAATCTGCAGAGGGCTCTGGGGTTGACTGCCAGGTGTGAAGTCTGGCCTCAGCTGTTTCCTAGGTGAGGGCAGAAGACTGGTCTCGGGCAGGACCCGGGGCTGAGTGTGCGGCCTCCAGCACTGGGCGTGTTCAGGGAGAGAGAGGGATGAGCTTGGGCTGCTTCCCTGTCCCCACCCCACCCCCGTGTGGAATTGTCTTTCCCACTCTTGTTCTTATTTTTCTACCAATTGCTATTTTTCCGAACAATCCTTGTAGAGAGTATGTGCCATCCAAAGGCAGGAGGGCCTAGCTGCGGCCAGCTCTGGTTGGAGATGGTACAGTTTTATTGTACAGGTGCTAAAACAACAACAACAAAAGAAGAAAATGGAAAAAAACCCAATAGAGTCCATTTTCTTTTCTTTAGATTTTGAGGATGGGGACAATCTTCTCTGGAGACTCCCGACCCATTCGGGAGCATTGGTGGTTATTTTCTTTGTATTGTGTTTGTTCTTTGTTCCAAGGGGAGGGTCTCAGCCCCCTTCTGTAGGACTGCTCCCCACCCCCATCAAACTGCCCAGTTGGTTTTGAAGTTGTTCTCCCTTTTAAAACAAAACAAAACAACAACAACAAAAATATATATATATATATATAAAGTTAAGT